CTTTAAAAGATGACAAAGTTATTAAGGAAGTGATTTAATAATATCTCTAAATGGACTTCATATACTGAACATATCTTCAAATGCTCAAAAGACATCTCTAAATCTCTAAATGTATCTTCAAATATATGATATTAAATACGATATATATTCAATTAAGTGAGAATTTGCCTTTGTCTTGGTAAATTGTTAGAGGCCAGATTGAGTGTGCACAAAGCAGAATGAAATCCAGGACAGTGGTTAAAACCCTTATTTGTATAAACAGTACCATGGGATTATCCAAGGTATTATGACACTGTTTACTTTCTCATCTGAAAGACAGTACCTCCCACACCAGTGTCCACAGTCACCATACTGATCACAAGTTTGTAAACTGTGGGTCCACAGAGGAGAATGCCACCTACTTGTCCAATTTACAGCAGCAATCTGGTTTTTCCTTAAAGTCCTCCTGTCCCAGTAATGACCAGGACCATCCATGCTTAAATTAGTTTACAAGGAGGTACTGATGCAATAATAATACTATTGTAGTGTGAGTTTTTCATAAAGTGACCTTGGTGGACAGTGGGAGGCAAAGCATGCATTAATAAAGTAAGGGAGATCTATAAAAGAGAATAAAAGATTAAGGTGACTGATTAATGATGAACAGTTATAGGGGAAAAAACACTATATCAGACACTCCCAATTGCTTACATTTCACACACCGAAAAATGTTTAAGTATTGGTACTATTTTACTATTGATACTATGTTTCATAATTTTACAGCATTATAACACTAATGGCAGAATATACAGTATGATTGATTTATTTTCAATATGAATATTTTACAATCTGGTGCATAAGAACATAAGAACAGTGCCAAATAAGAGGGGACCTCTATCTAGTTTGCGTTATTTTTTGGTAACAGATTGATCCAAGGTTCTCATCAAGTCTTTTGATGAAGAAGTAAAGTTCAGCTTCAACAACATGGGAAATCTGTTCTATACTCCCATAACCATTTGTGTAAAGAAGTGTCCTCAAATTGATTATTTTGATTCTTGACTCAGGTCTTGTCAAAGTCTTTCTTGTGGAAGACAAGTGTAGGACATTTGTTCAGGAATGGCTGGTCTTCTTATGTTTAAGTCTAAAATAATTCAGCTCTTTTAGCCTGTCAGAGTGGACTATACCTTTAAGCCAAGGACGGAATGTACTGTAGTTGCTTATCACTGGACTTCATATAAACAGTCCGTGTAGTACTTTCTGGGACTAACTGAGCAAGAAAGCAGTCATTAGCTGTTCACTGTCACAGATACAAGAGCCCACCCCTACAACTTGTGACCAGTTTGAAACTAAACCAGTTTGATTTTGTTGTTGCACGTCACAGACAGCCGTAGGGGCTGTTAAGAGCTCTATGACTGAGTCAATGGGGGTGTTACACTACACAACTTATGGTAATGGGCGTGTGCTGCGACTCTCTGTGATTTTCTTACGATTATGTAAATGAAGGCTATGACTGAAAATCCTAGGAAAGGTTGTGTAGTGTGATGCTGGCCTTAGGAAGCCGCAGCTATAGGGATCAATAGCTAGATGAGCTACAGGTGATTTCTTGGGTTTCTTGGGATGCAGATGAACTGTATAGGCTCTCTCAGACTTCAGAGAGAGAAAAAACAGCCCCTCTTAAAAGCAGCAGTGGAGAACTCTCCTTTGTGCTCACCAGGGTAGTGGCGGGGCTAAGTAAATCTGTGGGATTAGGACTGAATCCTCCCTAAAAGGAGCTGCTGGCCTAAACAATGCAAATATGCAAGGAAAGCTGCTGGATAGGGCACTGTTGCTGTCTGCTGGAAAGTCCATGGAGATGCGTGAAATGCAGTTGGAATGGAGTCCATACCGTTGGTTGGTGCTCTAAGACAGAGTCTGATGAAAAGAAACTTGATGGGCAGAATAGGTTGCAGTCACCCACAATGCAGTCTGACTTACTGTAGACTGCAGATGCCTATGGATGAATTAATGTGTGCTTGGAGACACCCAAAGAGAAGCATTGCCTGGGTCTCTGAGGGTTGTTGACTGTAGACGCTGAGGAGGTGTTGCCATTGTACTTGTGTTCAGACAGTTCAGGCAGTTTTGAGTCCTTTCTCCTGTCTAATCTTACCTGAATATGAGTGAAGAATGTGAAAAGTGTGTGAGAAGATTGTGGTGTTTTTGAATGATTGCATGGTGTATATTGAGCTGGAAGGGCTTCCCACTGCGATTTAGTTAATGTGTAGTAGTATGACCAGAAAGGAGGAGACTCAGATGTCAAAAAAAGAGCAGGAGATCCAACCCTAATGTAGTAAGGGTGGGAGGACTGTTTTTTATGTCCCTATCTCTGCTGGTGTGCAGCAAAGGCCAGTAAAGGCCAGAGTCAGGAAGTACAGCTGGTGTAGGGAGAGTGCTAGGAGCTTCCTGTCCAGATCCTGGCTCTCTAACATTGGATGACATCTGGCTTTTCTACACTGCAGGGACAGAGAAGGACCTTGGCAGGGGTGGGTACACACAACAGATTGAGCTTTTGTGTTAAAGAATAACATGAAAGAGAGTACATATGGAGTGTGTTATGGAGTTATACGTATGTATAGGTAAAAAAGCTAGATTGTATTGTGAGTGATGAACCTAGGAAATCATGTACAGGTCTGCAATGAGTATATAGCTGGGTGGGGCCTGTCTGTTGTATACTGTACTGAAATCTGGAAAGTTTTTGGCTGTTGAAAATCTCCATGTGCTAGGAACTCCTTAGCTCAAACAAAGTACAGTAATCCCCTGTTATACTAGCTTAATTCATTCCTTGAAAACTTTTCAAAGGTGAAGACTTGTATAATAGAAAATACATTCACATCAATTTCTGTGTAATTAATCTGAAATAATACATTTCTGATTGGTTCCAAAACTCAAAAATGTTACTTAAAACATCACCATAATACAGCACAAAACATTACCTAAAGTCACTTAAAGTGCTTAAAGCAACTAGCCACTGTATAAACAATAAGTAGGAGAACAACACTCCTGCTCATTTACAGTGCAATACAGTCATTACCGTCATTACCAAATTCATTAACATTAGAAGCTATCCTGTACCATATGCACTCAACATATGCAAGCTTTTTTATAGAAAAAAGTTAAAAGGTAAAAAATATAAAAAGTTAATTCCTCATCTAAGCAGATTCAAGAAAAAAATAATCTCGACATAGTAGAGCCCAGCTAGTAAGAATAAAAATCAGCTTGTTAAAATGCAACAATAGGTAAAAATTACTTCATCTTGTCTAAATTTGAACTTATGTATAGGATACTTGTATAGTAAAAGATTATGGCACTTGTACTGTAGTTGGGGTCAGGCATTGATTGTATTTGTCATACTAAGATTTATATTAGGCATTTGGTGATCTGTTGTACCTTTCATTTTATGTAAATAGTTAAAAAGGACCTGTACGAAACATGGATTCGAAAAAACCTTGCTATTTTCTTTTATTGGAAAAATAATTAATGTGATCAAAGTTTCGTAAACCATTTTGTGACTTCCAAATACTTCTGTTAGACAATTTATAAAGAAAAAATATTCCATATTTGCTAACATGCTATTTATTTACAAAAGATGGTATATTTACTTTCTTAAATGTTATTTTGATGTATTAGATGTATTTGAAGATGTGGTTTAATTGCTAAGGTACTTGTAACAAATAAGTTATAAATAAATAACAGGCCAAGAGGCATCAGCTGAAATCAAGGTGCGTATTCAGACAGGTATTACACAAGTATAATTATAGATCTATGTAATTATTAATTTCCCAAAGGAAAAACATTTAATGCAAGTACCTCATTCAGTACATATTTTGATTTTTGCAATAGGCCTTGTTAAGGACTTTCTAAAAGGTTAGAATACCATAACAAAATTGCATACAGTTTTTTTTGCGATATAATGAATTTTACATCCCTATTAAATTGCTTTATATATCTGATCTTTTTTTTTAGACTGCCACACCTTTAAAAATGCATTGTGTCACGATCGTAATCCCTCCTCTTAAGGGCGCTCTGGCCCTTTTGTATTTTAGTTGATTATGTACACCTGCCCTCTGTTTGTCTCTCATTATTTAAGACTGGCACTCTCGCTATTCCTGGCTCAGCATTAAGAGATGGACGCCTGGAAGCCAGCCTACCAGCAGGGTCCAGGAGAGACCCGACGGCATAGCCTTCATCACGGCATCCTGACCCTCTGAGTCCGGGGCTCGGAGCGCCTGGCCTCATTATCCTGGTTTTATTCCCTGTCCCTGTTCCGGACCCCATTCCAGATTTTAACTGTGTTTGTTTTGTCTTGGATAAATCCCCCAGTTTTCGACTTTAGACTGCGCCCTGGATTCCCCCTTTTGGACTGTCTGGACCTGTTTGTCCTTGCCATGCCCCTCGAGCACCGGATCACCGTTGTCACGCCCCCCTGTCTGTCTACCATCCTATCTTGCTGTACCTTGCCCAGATGTCCTTCTCCACTTACTTCCGGATTATACCATTTGCATAGGGTACTGAACTACACTTTGCAGGAGCCTGGACAGGCTCCTGTTACACATTGCTCAGATTCAATATTAATTTTCAGAAATATAAATCCTCCTTGGAATTCTTAACTACATCCTACTTTGTCTACCTTGCTCCAGATATCAACCACTCTTTGTGGTAAACCTTAACTGTCGACCAAAGCTGGCTTTGAAGTTCAGATGGGCTTCTCTACCTCATCTTACAGCAATGATCGAGCCCAGAGATTCCAGGTGGAAACTTTGCAGCGTGGCTCTTGAGCTCACACTCATAATGTTGACTGGATGAAAAGAGAAAGTGACTTGTCATCAATCACTGTATGACTTTGATGGTTTCCCAATTAAATGAAAAAATCTAATGATAATTCTAAAATCAGTACAATTGTTATTGCAAAGTGAATAGAAATGCAGTTGTGAATGGGAACACAATCATAGGAAAGGTGAATAAAAATAAAGTAATTCAAGTGATAATACCGGGAATGCTGTCCAGTTTTCTACGCAGCTCCTCATTTTCCTGCTGGAGAGAGAGCACCTCTTGTTCCAATTCCAAACACCTTGGGCAGCATCCCTCCTCCTCCTCTTCCTCTTCAGGAAGTGTGGATGATGGGTGCCCGTGGGACTCAGAGGGTGTGGGTGATGTCCAACCCCCACCTAGAGTATGAGATGGGGAGGTGGAGAGAGGGTCCATGTCATTGGAATGACAGTATTCCCCAGCAGTTCTCAGAGAAGGTCGACTGCCAGCAATCAAGTAGCTCTGAAGGGACTCAGTGAAGACACGCAGAAATGCAGAGGTTTGTTGCTTCTTCTGGGCATATTGCAGATCTATGTCGAGTCTTTCAGGAGTCTCTTGATCACCAGAGACACCCTTGCCCAGCTGACAATGTCCTAACCTTTCTGTATAGCAGCCTTCCTCTAGTTTGATGTGAGACATTGCTGAATGTGCTGGTTTGGGATCCAGAAACTTTCCGCTATTGTTGAGGAGGCTCAGAACCCGACTGCACTGCTGGGCAAAGGCATCCAGGATCATGCGGTTTTCTGTCAATTAATAAAAGAAAAAACTGTTAAACCAAATAAACATATTTGTTCATTATAGGCACATCCTATACAGGTACAGGTACTGAAACTAAACTACATTCAAAGAAAATAACATTTTATCACACTAAACACAAGATGAAGCACTGCCAAATCTGTAATGCTGTGGTTGGAATTGAGACTGAAAGTTTCTGAATATTCAGTTGTTTTTATTTAAACAACTTTTTCAAGGAGACTTGGCAAAGAACATTGGCTTCATGTTCAAGATTTTTATAGTGATCAAGTGTTGCACATGGTGGCACGGTGGTGGAGTGGTTAGCATTGCTGTTTCACAGAACTAGGGCCCTGGGTTAACTTCTGCACCTGAGGTGCTATCTGCATAGATGTTCTCCATGTGTATGTGTGGGAATCATCTGGGTGCTCTGATTTCCTTCCATAGTCCAAAACATACTATAGTTAATTGGCTTGCCAGGATTAGATCTGGCTCATCCGCATCCCTGAATTGGGTAAAGTTGTGGGAAAATGGATGGATGGACAAATGGAACATCACTTTAATAGTTGCAGTAAAATTTCCTATAGCATTCATTTTTGAAAGTGATTAACTTAAGCAGCAGAAACATGTCATCACAATGAATTCCACTGGATAAAATTAGTTAAATTATGGATTAAAAAAAATACCCAAATAAATTGCTTTAATTTTATTTGTTGGCATGAGAACATAAGAAAGGTAAAACATACAAGAAAGTAATCATGCTCATTTTGTACTTTTTGTAGATTTTGTCCAGAAATATTTTAAAAGAACCACAGTTTCAGCATGTCCTATTCTCAGTTATAAATGAATTCCTTTTAAGTTACTGTTATGACCCTCTGCCCTTGTTTTACCCTCTGTGTCGACTTTGCCCTTTGGATCTTACAGTAAATACAGTACATGGATAAAATCTTCATTTTATCTCCTTTGTTCTAGACTGAAGAGATGTATCTACTGTATGTTAACTTACAAATATGACAATCTTCTAAGACAAGTAAACACTATCGTCACAATACTCTGAAATATTTTTAAAGGTACTGTATAATATACTTTGTGCAATGGTGAGTAGAACTAAACTATATTCTAAGTGACATTTTTCTAGTGTGTTGTATATCAGGGAAATTATGCTCAAGTTCTAAATTATATACATTCTGCTCTATACACAAGAAATGTGTTTACTTTTTATTGCTTCCTCACATTGTCTAAATAAGATGTGACAACACAGGGGGTTGGGACACAGATCCTTAGGAAAACAGACAAAAATACAAAAAATGCAAAGTAACTGTTGGCAAACCATTTAAAAACCGAGAACTGAATCTAAGCTAATCTTTGAGCTATTAATAGCACAGACATGCAATGGGTACCTTACGTACCTCTTTCTGAATGTTCAACAAGCCTCAACTGCCTGAATGGTTTCCACTTGAACTATGATCTCAGTCTCTGACGTAAAAAGTCATGCTTTGTCCCTTTACTGTGTAAAACTGAAGGGAGTTTACATCTACTCTTTAAATCTTCCTTTTGGGCTGCAGTATACAAAGCATCTGTTTTGTTCTGTCAAAAAATAAAACCCAATATTATTTAAGTACCATATTATCAATGTGATAGTATGAAATCAGCAATACCTATTTCTGGAAAATGTTTGAAGTATGGTAAAAAAAGTACATTACAAATTAAAGAAGAAAATGGATGGGTTTATTCTTACTGGATTGTTTCTTATGTTTAAGGTCAGCTGTAACCATATCTTGTTAAAACACCATCATTTTTTGTTAATCATTTTTTTGTTAGCTGAATAAAGGCTTGCATTTTGTTGGATACACATCTTAGAATTCATTTTCAGTTTTAAACATAAACCCTGAAGTAATTCTAAGAAGCTTTTAAAAAATTGACTGTCCCACGAAAACTATTTTAAATAAAATGCTCGTTATGTATCATTACTATTATACTATATTTCAATTTGAGTTGAAGATCTATGGTTAAGATTTATTTTGTGTGAGATTTTGTTTTCAGAAGAAACTAGCTCAAAATGTCACCCAAAATCACAGAACAGAAATATTACATTTAAAGCAAATACTAATTGATATTTTATAATAATAACAATAAACGTTATTTTATATAGAGCCTTTAAAGCTTTAAAGCTTCTCAAAGCGCTTTACAGGATGACAACAACAATAAATAAAAAGAATACACAAGATAAAACACAATTACAATATAAAGAGGAGACCATGGATGGTGGTACTAAGAAAAGCAGAGGGGTGAAGAATGAACCACCACCAATGTGCAGCATCCACCTGGATGATGCGACGGCAGCCATAGTGCGCCAGAACGCTCATCACACATCAGCTATCAGTGGGGGAGGAGAGCAGAGTAATGTAGCCAATTCATAGTGGGGGATTATAAGGAGGCCATGATTGGTAAGGGCCAATGGGAAATTTGGCCAGGACACCAGGGTTACAGTTACACCCCTACTCTTTTCAAGAAACGCCCTGGGATTTTTAATGACCACAGAGAGTCAGGACCTTGGTTTTACGTCTCATCAGAAGGATGCCCATCACTATACTGGGGCATCAGGACCCACAAAGACCACAGGGTGAGCGCCCCCTGCTGGCCCCAATAACACCTCTTCCAGCAGCAACCTTAGTTTTTCCCAGGAGGTCTCCCATCCAGGTACTGACCAGGCTCACACCTGCTTAGCTCCAGTGGGCTGCCAGTTTTGAGTTGCAGGGTGATATGGCTGCTGGCCGCTAGACCTGGTCAGGATTCTGGCTGCTGAATTTTGGACATACTGCAGTTTGTTCAGAGTAGATTTAGATACTCCAGCGAGTAGAGCATTACAGTAGTCAATTCGAGAGAATACAAATGTGTTGATCAGCTTTTCAGCCACAGTTAGTGATAGCATAGGGCATTGTCTAGCGATATTTCTGAGGTGAGTAACCCAAACATCGAACTCGTAGCCATAGGACTGCGTCCATACTATCTGCCGCGGGAGTTTACATGCGCCATCTTTGTTGTTGTTTACATTCCACCTACGGCAAATGCAGAGGTAGCGTGTGACGTCATAAACACAGTCACAGCCAGGCTACAAACAAAGCACCCTAGCACTTTTATAGCTATTTCAGGGGACTTTAACCACGTATCTATTTCCACCACTTTGCTTACTTTCCACCAGTTTGTTAAGTGCCCGACCAGAGAAAACAAAACACTGGACTTATTATATGCCAATGCTAAGGATGCATAGAGTTCCACAGCCCTTCCCCACCTTGGCAGATCAGATCACAACCTTGCCTTGCTTACACCACTATACATGCCTATTGTCCAGCGCCAACCTGCGACCATGAGGACTGTGAGGAGATGGTCTCAGGAGGCTATGGAGGATCTACGTGGTGATTTGGAGGCCACCGACTGGGATGTGCTGTGCAGAACCATCTACAGATAGGGTTACAGAACTGGCTTTATGAAGTTGGTGGGGGGTGCCAATAAGCATGATTTCGGTTTTGTCGCAGTTAAGATGAAGGAAGTTTTGAGTCATCCAAAATTTTATGTCAGAGATGCAATTAGATAGAATAGAGAGTCAAATCAGTGTCAGGTTTGGTATGGATGTATATTTGAGTATTGTCAGCATAAAAATGAAAGCTGAGGCCATGTGATCTTAAAAGCTGACCAAGTTGAAACGTAAATGCTGTAGAGCAAGGGGCCCAGTATTGAGCCCTGAGGAACACCAGATTTAACAAGACAAATTTCAGACCTGTACCCATTGAGAGAGACAAAGTGACAGCGATCAGTGAGGTAAGATTTGAACCATTTGAGAACATTGTCAGAAACTCCAAACAGTTCCAAGATGAGAAAGTAAGATGTTTTGGTCAACAGTGTCAAAACCAGCACTGAGATCAAGAATGAAGAGTATAGAAAGAGAACCAGAATCAGAAGCTATTAGAAGATCGTTAGTGGCTTTGACCAGGGCAGTTTCTGTGCTGTGAAGTTGACGGAAGCCAGATTGGAGGGGTTCGAAAAGGTTGTTTGTCATGAGGTGGTTATGTAACCCAAGTGTGACAGCACGTTCTAGAATTTTAACAAGAAAGGGTAAGTTGGAGATGGGGTGAAAAATGTTAAGATTGTCGAGAGCCTTGTTAGGCTTTTTTGGCACGGGGGTAATGGCAGCAGTTTTGAGGACCGTTGGTACAATGCCAGTGCTCATGGATTCATATATAATATTGAGGACAATGGGAAAGAGAAAAGAGAAACAGGACTGAATAAAGTGGTGGGAATGGGATCTAAAATAGATGTGATTGGTTTCATGTGTGTAACTAGTTTATTGAGGGATGCTGAGTCAAGAAGAGAGAAGCTGGAGAGAAGGGAACCAGAGAAGTTGGATGAGGAGGGAGGAGGTATGGAAATGATATGCATAGTGGAGAGAATGTGATGCAGGATGTTGTCAATCTTAGAACTAAAGAAATCTAAGAATGTGTTGCATAGTTGTGATGAGGCAGGTAATGTGGTGGGGCAGTTTGGCTTGAGCACTCTGTTGATGGTGGAGAAAAGATGTCTGGGTTTGTTTTGGTGATTTTCAATGATGTGAGAGAAGTAGGTGGATCTAGCAGACTCTATAGTAACCTTATATTCAGATAAGTAATCTCTCCAAGCCTGATAATGTACATTTAGGCCAGAAAGACGCCACCTATGCTCAAGTTTGCGAGAGGCTGCCTTCATGGATCACAGATAGTCATTGTACCAGGGGGCAGGGCGAGAGAAGGAGATGGTTCAAGTTTTTAAAGGAGCAAAGGTGTCGAGGGTAGATAAAAGAGCACTATCAAGTAACTGTATTTTGTCCTCTAAAGGGTCAGAGGAAGAGAAACAAGATAAGGAGGACAGAACAGAATTTGCTAACCTTGGGTGATCAATTGATTGCCAGTTGCAGAATTTTACAGAGCGTGGGGGGGAAGTGTTAGAAACAGGTAATTCCAGATTGAAAAGAATGGCT